TTATTATTGGGTGTCTTATGATCAAGAGAAAATAACATGTTAAAAAATAACTGTGTATCTGTCAACCACAGGAACGGTCTGAAAACATGCCTCATCCTGCCCTTTGCTGGGAAAGCCTGATTTCAAGTACTTTTAGGTTCATTACAGAGGGAACCTTCACACGGTCCTCTTTTCACCTGAAGCATACTTGCCATTTGTTATATAAAGATCCTGTTTCCTCCCTGTATATATATTATAGGTTTGCTGTTTACAATCCAAGTCATAGAAGAAAATGATCTCCGTTGTTGACACAACCTCAACACAGCCCTCAACAAGGCCACGGGGCGATGGGGGGTTAGGCCCTTCAATCAACCCGTCTTAACTAGAACTCTCTATTTAAAAAAAAAAAAAGTTAGTTGGCATAAAAACTAGTGCCCCAGAAAACAGCATATTCCAAAGTTTCTAAGCACCGGCCCCACCTTGTTATTGTCACCGCGACTCTCAAGAGCTCGAGCCCAGCGCGGTCGCTGGGACTGACTCCTTTAACCTGCGGGCAGACGTCATCCCAGAAATGGCCAAGATTTGTTTTATTAACCTTTTCTGTTTTTAATTGGGTTACTCAGTGTTCCAGATGGAACAGACTCCTGGCTAGACAGGTGACCGCTCATGACATCAGAATGACTGTCCAAACCCACAGCCCGGGGACCCCCGCCCCTGCCACCGGGTCGGGTAGGCGCCCGGCGGCCCGCTCACCTCGCCCTCCGCCTGGCAGGGCGTCTCCTGGCGCAGCACGGAGCTGATTCACACATTCAGGCTATTTCGTGGAGTAGCCTTGGTATCTCGACACTATCAGCTTACAGACACACGGGCGAAATTACAGATACACGTACTAAGTTACAGAGGCGGGGGCTGGGCCGGAGCTTTTCACCAGGTCCTCCAAATATTAAAAAAAAAAAATACATAAAAACAACTCTCAAATATCCTTTTATAAAAAAAAAAAATCCTTCCACGCTATCTTTCAGGCTTAAAGAGCAGACTCCCTTTGGGTGTCCCGACAGCCACCGAGTTCCGCGTCCGGACTAGCAGCGGAGGACGGACCCAGCAGAGAGAAAACAGCCCCTGACGAACTTTCTCCATAATAAATCTAACTGTCGACAACGACCGATTTCCCGCCTGGTCTGCGACGTCACGTTTCCCAGCAGCCTGTGGACAGACGGCTGTGCATGTTCCCTCATTCTCGGTCCTTCTGTGAACGACCCCAGTGGGGGTGGAATGAGACGGGCTCTCCCTCCGGGTATTTTTTACACACGCGCTTCACGCGGAAGGCCCCACGCCCACTAGGACGCACCGTCCGACCGGCGGGATGAACGCACCTAGTTAAGCCAGAACCTTCCTTCCAACACCAGGCTACCAAGGCCGGGAGGGAGAGGTTAGCACACACCACGCACGGGTGCCCGGGGAGGGTCGGACGGGTGGCTGGCTGGACGGACAGACGGATGGATGGGTGAGAGCATCAGCCGCTCCTCGCTCCATCGCTACCTGCTTCTTCCCGACCTGGGCAAACGGTCCCGTTTCTCTGGGGCCGCCCCCCTTTACCTGTGACGCGTCAGGACCCCGGCCCCCGGGTTCCTTCGCGCTCACACAGTCTGGGTTCACGAGACAAGAGGACTTCTCAGAACTAGTCGGCTTGGCCATGCCAGGGCCGTTTTGCCAGAATCGCCCAGAGTTCACAGCACCCCGTGATGACGGAGCGTCGGGGGGCCTGCTGACCCGCAGGTGGGACGTTGCCTGGGCTTCCTGCCTTCCGCACAGCGACCTCTTACCCTTCCACCAGCAGGGACTGTGGCTCGGTCAGGACAGCCGGGGACAACGTGGTGTGCGGGTGGATGGATGGATGGGCGAACACGCAGCGTGGGAGCGTGGGAGTGCGTGTGTATCGCACGCCGTGGAATATTACTCAGCCACAAAAAGGAAGGAGATTCTGCCATCTGCAACCACACGGCTGGACCTCGGGGACGTTATGCTAAGTGAGGCGACTTAGAGACAGGNCATCTGCAACCACACGGCTGGACCTCGGGGACGTTATGCTAAGTGAGGCGAGTTAGACAGAGGCAGATACTGTGTGTCCTCACTCCCACGTGGAACCTAAAAAGCTGAACTCATGGAAACAGGGAGATCGGTGGCTGCCAGGGGCAGGGGTGGGTGGCAGGGAAATGAGAGAACTTGGTCCAAGGGCACAAGCTTCTAGTTATAAGAGGGGTAAGTCCTGGGAGGTGATGTGCCGCATGGGGACTACAGTTGAGGATCCTGCATCTGTTGTATATCCGACAGCCGCTAAAGGAGCAACTCTTAAAAGTTCTCACCACACTCGAACTGTGCCAGGGGGTGGACGTGTCAACGGACCTTATTGTGATAACCGTTTCGCAACCGATGCATACGTCTACTCAAGTCGTCACGGTGTAGACCTTAGACTTACACGTTGTCAGCTACATCTCAACAGAGCTGGGAGGGAACGTCACCTTCCTCTTTTCAAAAAAGTGGTGGTGGGCAGAGCTCCACCAACAAGAAACTTTCCCCCCCGTGGAATAGTCAAATAACAGTAAGAAAACCCCGACGACAATTAGCGGCCACGCGCCCCCTTGCCTCACAGGCCGACCGGAAAAGCCGGCCTCACCCAAGTTGCCGGGAGGCTGTGGGCTGCTGACTTTTTTCTAAAAGCTGACGGTGAAACTGAGACCATCTGCCTGGACCTGGGACATCTCTTTACATCACGCGCATACCTATTAATGTAATTTAATTTCCGATTTCATTTTCCCTGACCCCGAATTCCCTTGGGCAGGAAAGACCCCGTCCACGTGGCGCCTCCCGGGAGCGCGCCCCTTCCGTCTGCTCGGCGCCCCTTTCGACACCGGCCGCTTTCTGAAGCTATAAACCAGCGGGAGGCGGAGTGGACCGAGGTGCAGGCCCAGCATTACGACCGTGCGTTTCCCCCCGCCCCCTGGGCTGCTGGCTCGTAAAAGACACAGCGCCCATCTCCTTCCTGAAGCTCAACCGCCTCTTAGGTTCTTCGGATGTAACAGAAAATGCTAGCAAGGGGTGCAACCTGCCTCTTCTGATGCAGGGGAGGGCAGAAGTCGGGGTACAACGGGGGCCACGCCCAGGGTTAAGCGTCTTCCCCGCAGGCCAGCATCCGCTCTGCCCGTAAAGACAGATTCCACAGCCCCGGCCCTGCGCGAGCCTCTCCAGCAGGTCAGGTCCCTCAAGTCCATTTCCTTCCTCGTCACAACTGCCCCTCCGGCCTTGCTGCTCCCTAAGCCTGCTGCCTCTTTGCTCCTCCACGGAGAGCCCAAGGCCCCGCTGTCTAGAGCAGGGTCCTGAGTGGTCCTTGGTTCGCCCTCCTACTTGGGGACCTACGACGTGCTCACAGTCATTCCTGGGTTTGGGTGTAACCGGTGGTCCCCTCTGTGCAAGCTGCATGGACCTTGGAATCAGGATGTTACCGAGCCTGGAGTTTCCCGAGTCTGCGGGGGGCATAAAAATCTGGGGACAATAAGCTCAGACGGGAGGGAGCCATGGAGGGTGGCAAATGGAACCAAGGGATCGGGGACCGAACACCATGTCCTGGGGGGCTGTCCCCGGTGGGGGGCGTTTTCTTCAGAGTTCCTCCCACTTTGGGGCATCGGGAAAGCTGTGGCAGCCCCTGGGGTGGTTCGAGCAGGTGTGAGGCTATGGCCAGGATGGCAGGACAGGCTGCCACGGGATGCTTTGATTGCAGGATGACATGCAGCGAGTCACACCCCAGGGGCGACCTCAGAGGCCCCACAGGCACCACAGCAATGAGGGGGTCTCGGAAGGACTGTCTGGGGAGCAAAGGCAGGGAGAGGCCGGCAGGGAGGCTCTCCTGGGCCTGCCGACACCTCCCAGGTTCAGCCTCGGCGCCAGGCGCTCAGGGTGGCATCGTTCAGTCTCACACGGAAACTCTCAGTATCGCCCCCCGTTTGCAGGTGAGGAGACCGAGGGTCAGAAGGGCTCCGTGACTTGCTGACGGCGTAAGGACCTGAACAGAGCTCCACCTGTTTGCCCCCGGAGCCCAGGCTCTTCATCGCTTCGTCTTACGGCCTGGCCTCCCCGTATCTCAACCTCCGGGGTGGCAGGAAGCCCTGCTTTTGAATCTCTGTGCCCCTGAGCAGGGAGTATGGGTCTCCTGTTGGGGACCCCAATACGGTTCGGAGGCTCCCAGATGCCGGGCGGGGGCTCGTCAGCCCACAGATCTGGAACTGCGGCCGGGCCTCCATGGGGAAGGGTGCGGCTTGGAAAAGAGGGTTACTCGTGTGTTTACTCAAAGACAGTCATTAAGTCACCATGAGGACATCTTTCTGCAGACTAAACAACCTCGCTCCTTTTTAAAAAAGCTTTCCTCACAGGAGCTATTTTCTCGGGACGATCTTTCTGTGGTTACCGGCGCCCCCCTCGAGGCATCCCCTCTCCTCCCGTTCTCTAAACAATCCTGGAGTAAGGCTTTGATCTGTGCCACCAGAAGAAAACGGTCATTTTCATGGTTCTCAACTCCAGCCTTAACGAACGAATAAAAGGCCGGCATGGGCGGCGATCAGGCCCTTGGGGTCCACTCTGACCCTCTGGCCCTTTCTGGCCACCCCTGTGCCTGCCCAGTCGCCCATTCCCTGCTTGTTTCTGACCTGTTGGACTTCACCACGTACCTGGGGGGTGAGCGCTTAGCCTCGTACGGCCAGAAATGGTTTCTAACGCGCACTCGAGTCGCCCGGTTTCCTTCGGCCCGCTAAGGGGGAGCTTCCAAAAGAGCTCAGTGCCCAGAGGCAGCCTTTGGCAGTGAGTGCCAACGGTAAACTCCTGCTCCCTGCAGGGGCCTGGCACCCCCCCGGCAGACGTTTCAGCCATGTGTGAGCGACGCCCCTTGAACTCAGGGATTGGTTCTCGGACACCCTCCCCGGCGCCTGAGCGTCCCAGCCCGGAGGTGCGCCAGTCCCGAGGGGCCCACTTACTTCGAGGTTCTCGGGGTCCATCCACGGTGATCTTGATGGCTCTGTGGTAGGTGGCGACTTGCGGTGGGTTTGTGAAGACGGTGATAGTCAGAGTGAAGCTCTTCCCTGTGGGACACAGGAGGACACGGGGAATGAGACGGCAGCCTGCGACCCCGCCGGCCACGCACCCCTCCCCGCCCTCGACCCGGGAAGGTGGCGCCACTTCAGCACGGGCCACTGGTTTTTCCCATCGCCCTCGAGTTCGGCTTTGCTTAAACTCTGGGGTGCTCGCCTACGGCGTCTGTCAGGATCTCACACTTCACAGTTACAGGCCTTCCTTTAACACAGCATCGGGGGAGATGCGGATCTGTCTTCTTTCGAGAGTCAGGACCCCAGGGGACGTGGGATGGGAGTGGCAGCGACCCACTCCCCCCCCCCACCGTCTCAGGGCAAAGGCGGAAAAGACACCAGATCCGTCTCCCTCTCTGGGGCTGTTTGTACCTCCGAGGATTAGGAAAGATGGAATTCCTAGGTTTGAGGACAGGCTAAATTAAAATTATTCTCTGTATTTAAAAAAACACTAACTCCTGGTTGATTTTAAATATTATTTTTAAATGCTAGGCACTCATGGAACTGGCCAAACAAAATTTATAGTCAATACAAGGGCTTAAGGACACGTAGCTGACAGACTGAGGGGCAACCGGTTCCATCTCTGCGAGAGAATTTCCGCCCGAACACGCCACTTGCCTCAGTGCCCTCCCCTGGAAGATGGGTACGCAGACCGTTGCCCACCTCATGGAACCTGGGGGCAGGTTAAATGAGTTACTGTGAGCAAAACCGTTAAACCTGCATCCCGTGCATGGTTTTAGAGGGGGTGTGTGTGTGTTGTGCTCACGTTCATGGCTTCTTTTCTCGCTCTTTCCCACAACAGGGCTCTGGGATTTCGCTAAGCGTGACGTCGGGCCTCGCACTCAGCACCGCAGTGCTCCAGCGAGCACGGTTTCGCCTTCCCCGCGCGGCGTGAAATGAAACCAAGCAGGAACGAAACGGAAACATGCCACCTACTCCCCCATCCGCTCCCCAAACCATTTCAAAACCCAAACTGTCCTCCTTCCCCACCTTAGAAAGAGCAGCGTCTGTCCAGCTGCCACACGTGTTTGACACAAAGGAAGCCCCAGAACAATGCTCCGTGGAAGCACCTCTGGCCACCGCAGGCCCGTGATTCCTGATCACGAAGAGCCCACCAAACGGTCCCCAAGGGTCTGTCCTGCTCCGTCAACAACCTGACTGAGCTCCTACCTCTGCCATCAAGACTGAAAATCCCACAGAAGCTTTTAGGATCTTCTCACCACCGAGCCCCATGCCCCCCATCCCTCCAGTCCCCAAGCCAGAATCCTCTCCTCTGAGCCCCATGTCGGAGCCACGGCACTTCTGCTCTGGGGTCTTTCTTCCTCCGGCCATGTCCCCAGCCACCCAGGCCTCCTGGCGTCCAGGTCACTGTCCCCCACATGATTGTCACAGGTCCTAAATCTCCGCCTGCAAACTCAGAGGCACCAGGAACCGGGGCCTGTGGTGCTTTTCCCACACTCCACCGCTGCCCCCAAAGAGGAAGCACCCCTGCGACCCCGAAGCGCCCCGATGCTCCTGACAGCCAACCGCAGGCCTGGATTCTGGTTCAGGAAGAGTTTCTCACTGAGCCGGAGCTGGGCTCCTGGCTGCCGAGCGCCAAGCGTCGCCTCCGTTAACCACGGGCTGGCCTCCTTCATTGGGAGTGAAATTCAACCAAAGCGAGTATTTGTGGAATTGTTGCTCATGATGAAAATTCTGCTATTTACGCCCATCGGTTTACGTGCAGTCACTAGAAGCGCGTATCCGGCGACAGCTACCAGGTGGGGCATCTCGGCCGGTGACGTGGTCCACGAAGGCGGGGTGTTCCGGCAGCTTCCCTCGCAGTGGGCCCTTCGGCTCTGACCGGGACGTCTGCCCGTTGCCTCACAGACGGGTCCTGGGTGATGGCATCTGGCTCACGGGTGTGGTGACGTTTTTCCACTCCTTTGTGTTCCTCCGAAATGGACAGCTGGGGACAGTCAGCGGTGGGCGCCCTGCCTGGGGTTGTGGCTTCAGGACCCGGGACCCCAGTGCTCTGCCCCCATCCTGCCCACCCCACCCATCCCTGCGGAGACGCAGCCCTTCTTGGCCGGCACCTGCAGGCACCTGCAGACGTGGTGGCCGTACCCTGGGGCACACGTGCTCTTAGCCAAATTCCCTCGCTCGGATGACCGACGGGCCTGGTATTTGAAGAGCGTGGGTGTGGAGTGTGAAAGGCACTCAAGTGTTTTTCTCAGGAAGCTGTAGCCAGACCAGGAAGAAGCCAGGGGAGAGGACAGGAGAGCAGGTCTGTGATGTAATACTCGGCCCCCCCCAGTGGGCTCTGCAGGACCAGCGGCAGGGGCGGGAGGCAGGGGAGGGAGACGTGGCTGTGGAGCGAGAGCTGCCTGAGGGTCACCTTGGAGCCTGAAGCGAGTCCTTGCCGGAGGGGCTCCAGGGCTCCCGTGGCCCTAACGTGGGCCCCACGAGACAAGCAGAGGCCGAGCCCGGAGCACAGGTGACCCTGAGCCCGCTGCTGGAAGGCTCAGCTCCCGGGGGCCACGCCGCAGGGTCACAGGCGCCCTGCGTGGAGATTCACAGAAGAGGGAGCCGAGGGAGGGGGTCGCTGAGACCTTCCGTCTCACCCTCGGTTCTGGGTGCCGTGTCACGACTTGTGACCTGAGGCAGCGCAAGGCAAGGGGCTGGATCTATAACCCCGTGGAGGTCGAACGCCGGGTGCCTGGGGGCAGTGTGGCCCCAGCCCACGGCCTCTGCTCACACCCCAGCTCTGCCACGTGCCTGCTGTGTGGCCTTGGGCAGGCTGCCTAATCTCTCTGCAGCCTCAGCTTTGTCATCTCTGAAATGGGGTGACCACAGTCCTCCCACCTCATGTGTTGTCGTACAAGTTGAATGGGACCACGGACAGCAAATGTCAAGTTAATTACCACCTAAGACACGGCGCACAGCTGGGGGCCGCCCTGGGCTGTCGGGGTGAGGTGGGTGCCAGTTAGTGTTCTCAGGGAGGTGGAACGGGGCCTGAGGACCCGTCAGGGAAACTGCGCCTCTGCCGAACTTGACGTTCATGCTCGCTCCTGCCCCGCCAGCTGGCGACCTTGCCGGGCAGGACTGTGACAGGATGTGGGGCTCTCTGAACCCCCCAGGCCACAGGCTCCCCGCTGGAACGTGTGTCACCCCCTCAGCGCCTGACTGTTCACGCAGAGGCCAGGAAGAACACTGGCCGCTTCATTCATTTGGGAGGAAGGTCACGCGAACGTCCCCGGACGCTCGCTGCCCTGACACCCTCCACGGCGAGGTGGCCACGAGGCCCCGGCCTGAGCTGTTAGTCTCCGTGGTTACGGGGCCCTGGGGCCGTGACCTCCTGTAGCCACTGCGGTCTCATAAAGCCAGGGCCCCACACACACGCCACTTCCCTGTCGCATGTGGGAAGTAGCTAAACCTCAGGACTGTGGCAAATGGGCACAGTTCCCAAAAGGGCCGAGGTTGGCGCGAGGAATGGAGATAAGAAGGAGACTAGATCATTTCATGGGGTGGGAGGGGGGGCAGGGAATGACACATGTAGAAGTCCACAC